AAAAAAAAAAAAAGGAAAATATAGGTATTAATGTAAAAAATATATTTTATTTGTTAAAAATCTTTCAGAAGGCATGGCCTCCTTTTCCTCCTCTGGCGAACAACCACAGAATTTGATCAAATAATGGTTTAGATTTACTGAAATATTTTTTTCAAAACACACGATATTCATCCAATTAACAAAATCATTACAGTATAATGTAGCCACTGAAAGCAACATTTACGAATAATAAATTGTGTCACTTGAGTAAATAATGTGCTGCGTTGGTTGGGACGAAACTACAATGGCTTGCCTAGCCTAGATTAAATCAGTGAAACATCTTGTTAATGATACTTAAGTATGAAATTAATAACTCGAGTGAATTAAAATGAAAGAATTCATTGAAACCGCAGAACACGTGGCAGCTCTATATTGAAATTTCTATATTGTATTTAACCATAAAGAACTGATTGTGAAATGCATTAAAACTTCACCTTCTTAAGTATTTAAAACACCCTCTCCACGAGCGATATCATTGTAAAATGTAGTTTGATGATTGTTTTTTTTTTTTGTTCAAATAGCTGCAAAATAGTCTATCTATGCTTTGCCCACCCCAGAGAACGAATCCCGAATTTTAATGATATAAGTCCTTAAACTGACTACTTAGCCACCGAAAATGAATGCCGAAATGGAAATGGTAAACTTTAGAAGTGTTGTGTAGAATTTTTAAATAGGAAAAGCAATTTTACATGTTGCACAATTATAAATAGTGTTTGCAAATTAGTTGAAAATTAATTGGCTAAAACATACCATATTTTCCAACTAGAAAGCAAGCAGGCAAAACCTAACAGTACTACTTGTTGAAACTATGGATTTTCGGGATCAATATTCTATTTTTTTTTCCTAAACTTATTTATATTGGCTTTTTCATAAGTTATCCTATTAAATCGCAGCTTTCCTTAAAATTATAGCTGATTACTTCGTTTGATTTATACATTAGTTCGAGACCGCGCCGTGCTTCTGAATACGCTTCGCACTTCCAGCTGTTAATGTATTACAAAAGTGACAGTCAGTCCTTCTATTTAGTTAAGCATAGGCTGTGAGTGCTGTTATCTGGTTGCCCTCTCTCTGGACTGCTGTTTTAAATTATAGGTGGTTATGCCTAAACTCTGAGGCCTCTGATTTCAGCGTTTAACATACGTAGAGCATATAGTGACGTTTAGATTGAAAATTCAAACGCTTTTTGTTGTTGTTGTTGTTGTTACCACGTTTTTCGAAATTATTGTAACCACCAACTTCATTACAAAATATAAATAAAAATATTTTGAGAATGTTAAGAGATGGCGCTAAAATCTCTGTATATGAGCGTTAGTGTGAGTAATTTCAGCGTAGACCCGGTTTGCGGGGAACGTGCCGATTTAGTTGTCTAGATATATTCGACGAAGTTCGATAGCGATAAATTCCAGTAAACTATTACTAGGTTCATAACCACTTTTCGAATTGAGAAGCGAGTTTACTGTTAATAGCAACTCTGTACAATTTTGATCAAAAATATCCCCAAATGTCTGACGCACAGCTTCTTGAAGAACCTCAAATCACCTACGATGTTGAAGAAACAGTAAGCTGTTACAATTTTAATAAGAAATATCGCAAAGTAACATAGATTGCATTATGATATATAAAAGTTTTAGGATAAATATAAGCCTGCTTGTTTATTGTATTATAACTATGTTTAAAAGCGTGACTAAGTTCATACTTAAGTATAATTAACGATAGATTTCATTATATTAGTTTAGACCTGGAAAGCCAGCTTAGTTTCTTCCCAGCCAACGTGGCACGTTATTGATAATCGATAGTTTTGGTCGGCAACTGTTTTATGGCAGTGCTATGTATAGACTTTGTGGGAATCGTTTTAATTTCTTAATTTTTGAACTCTTAAGCACTCTAAGTAACGTAATCTAGCATGTGTCATGTATGTGTATTAAGTCTGAGGTATTAAAAGTATTTTGCGTTCAGGACGTGCACAAAATTTCTCAGAACATGGTAAAATACTTGGAACGTGTACCGATTCAATAGGCAAGCCTTAAGACTTAAGTAAAATACAAAAAAAAGCAACAACAAAAAACAATGTATAATATTATAACTTATAAGTACATGTATCATTACACTTAGATAAATCACGGTCAGTTACGCTGTTTGTAAAGTTCACAGGCTCTCTTCTATTGCCACAAAGTAAAATGGACCAGGAATAACTTACAACAATTACTGTATCGCATAATTTAATTGTGGCGTATTACTTGTATTACGCACTTTGCCATTAACGATCACCCATAATTAACGTTTCGCTATTAAGAGGTAGAGGGTGCTTCAACGTATTATTTTTTTAAATAAACGTTGGTCTCGGTTCTGTTCTTACACAGTTAATAGTACATCTGTACAGAATGTGTATTAGGATCAAAGAGGTATAATTCGTGTTTGTGTCATAGAATGCCTTTATAGTAATATTTTTGTGTAAAAAGTATTTTATTCCTACAGATCGATTTGCACATAATCCGTTTTGCTAGTTGTATCCCGCCTATTTTCGAAGTTTATACAGAAAGGGCCTGTTTGGTTCATCAAGATTGTCCCACCATACCTATACCTGAGAAAAAGAAAACGCTTGACTTTAAAAGTTTAAACTCACTCTTTGTATTTTGTTTTTTGAGGAAATAATGTTTCCCTCATAAACTCTTGTATTTTAATGATAATGCCTGTAATTATAATAGTAATTTTATTTTATTCAATATACGTAAGTGACAATTAAGCAGTTAGGAAAAGTTAAATTTGAAAACATGAATAGGGAAATGGGTGCCTTTAGACAGAACCGTCATGCTGCGTTATTGATCTGAGCGAAACTATATACACGGAACTTAAGGCTTTGCAATTTCTAATTCTGTTACTTTTTTAAACGTATATGAACCTTTATACGTGTAGCATTAAAACTTTATTTTGAACTTTTCAAAAGTGCAGTAAAGATGTACTCAATGTAATTTTGTAAAAAGAAATAGTGTATGTATTCAACATCACGTTTCACTAACAGCCATGGAACTAAATGACACTACTTGTTTCTTCTGATGAGTAAGTAAAACGTGTTGAGCTCGTTCCTACATTCTAATTCGAGTTCGCTTTTTGTGTGTGCGTGTGCACATTGATTTGTTTTTTGGGCCATGAGATTCAACATACTTCTATATGTATATCAAAGTTATGAATAATTATAAGGTTTGTAATGCTGTTGCATTCATATATTTTGCTTACCTAGTATTTTTCTTGAAATGCTTTCCTTTGAGAATTCGTTAAGAGTTCATAGAAAATACGCATTTCTAAGCAGATTTTTCCTGGACATTTTTTGACTGTGTATAACTAGCAATTTGTTCATACATTCTTTGGCTGTGTACAATTAGCGATGCAATTTTTTTTTTAGAATCATAATGTGGAAAAGGGTCAAGGATTTCGTCTGTTTCGAGTTAACTTGATATAATTTTCATTTCTGTATATGTCTGCATGAGTGTGTGTATATGCAGTGTGTTCGAAAATTATCTTTCTTATTTTTAACGTAAGTTAAACAATAACTAATAGACATACAAAAACTTAGTTTGCAGTATCTTGTAGCCTAACTGAAAGAGGTTTTATTTATATATCAGTAGTTTTTCCACATGTGCACCGTTTGTGGCTGTCAGCACGTCTAACCTACATTTCATTCCACGTTCGCTTTAACATGTCTACAGTCACATTGGCAATGGCGTCCGTTACCCTGAATCGTAGTTCCGCCGTGGAAAGAATATATTGTTAATAAAACTTGCGGTAAGCTACAAGATGATGCAAAATGCATTTTGTATGTCTGTTAAGTATTGTTCTATTTACGTTCAAAATAGGAAACATAATTTTGTAATAACCTGTATACTAAATCTGAGAGACTTTGTCAAAATAATAAGCCCCTGTGGCTCAGCGGCATGTTAGAGGACTTATAACGCTCAAAATCGTTTTTCGATACCCGTGATGGGCACATCATAGATAGCCCATTGTTCAGCTATGTGCTTAACAGCAAAAATAATGATAATAGTGTAGGTAATTTTACTAGAATGCTTTGCAGAAACAAGGAATAAATACAAGTGAAATTCCAGAATTCTAGCAGATGAAATAAAAATACTGGCGATGATATGAAATACACAATCTCTCTCCATTTTGCTTTTTTGGCAAAGATCAGAAAACGGGAAGTTAATGTTCAGTTTTTATTAGTAGGAATATAAAATGCAATATCCATTATAGCAAAATTATTTTTTAATGCATAAGAGTATCGAGTGGTCATTAAAAAAGGTATTTCGTTTTTCACCATAATAATTCAACCATACCACGAGGACCTTTCAAAGCTATTACATTCATAATCCCATGTGTTTAATTTTAATTTCTCTACAAAGAGTAACATTTTTATACCAACATGCGGACAACAAGGGGCCATTTGGACCTCAAAAGTTTCCTTTTTATATGAATGTGAATTTGTCATGGCTTGGATTTATTGATATTAATGAAATGTATATAGCGAACATTAAAAATAGTATTAGTTTATTTTAAACTTAAAATAATATTCTACATTAGCCTTTCTCAAACTCCGCGAGTTATGTCCGAAATTTAAAAAATAATGATTTATAGAATAAAAAATATTTTTCGTAAAATTAAGTTAATATTTATTTAAACTTTTAATTTTGGAAAACAGCTTTTCATGTACACAGAATCTTTTTTTTTTTAATCGATAAGTTTGGGTGGTCCACGAAAAAAATTTCCATTAAAAGGAGTCCTCTGGTTATTGAAGTTTGAGAATCGCTGTTCTGGAAAATTGTTTCTAGGAAAAATAAAACGTTTTCATTAAAAAAAAATAATAAGTAAAATGTCTACTCTGTTTTAATCCATTTTCAAGTGGGAAGCAGTAAAAACAAAACAACAACAGCACAATCAGCATGTGCTACAGTTAATGAGTTATAAACATAACGAATAATTTTAAACTAAGGTATATTATCTATATGACTAAAAAAGTAACGTGTGTGCGTGCATGCGTTTGTGGGAAGCTTCTAAAACTTTATCCAACTATGCACAAATGGAATTAGGAATAATAAAATATGGACAACGTCACCATATGCGTAAGGAAGGAGTGGGTGTAGATAGTACTATGCATAGTAATTGGAAAGGTATGTGGGATGGGATCTGTCATCCTTTAGAACCCCATTTCAGACAGAAGTGTTTGTGTTAAGATTTTGTGCATGACTTCCTTCATTTGTGTATAGGTAGAGTACCAGAGATATTTGTTGGGTATCACGTGGTTGTGGAATAGATTTAACCTCGTAGTCATTGGGACGCCTCGCACGGCCATCAGATTTTTTCAGAACTCTTCGTACCTCACCTTTTATGTGAGTAGTCTAGGCAGGGTACTTAACTGTTTTAATTACTCTAAATACACAACACTGCCTTTACAATTTATAAACTTTGCGCATCGAAATACAAAATGCCACAATCAAACAAATGTTTAATACGCGAAGCACGAGCCCCCCCCCCCCCCACGTGATATATTAAAGCCAATGCTTTTTAGTATGTGTTTATTTTTTCATGTTTTGATGTTATTTTCGTGATGACATAAGTTAAAAAACAAACAAGTAAAATAAAAAGTTCATTCGTTCCGTGAACATGATGCGAATGATACTAAATAACAGGTCTCAAGGGAATTCTAACTCTTGGATTATTGCCAATTTGTGCGTTAAACTCATTGCTCTAAAGAACACAGTGGATTTACTTTAGAGCGAAGCATTTAAACTATAACGAAAATATTCACAGAAAGTAAAAATAATAATATTATTTTAATTTGTCTTTACTTCATTTGATATTTAACGAACAAAATTTTTCACGCTTTGTATAGTACCAATTTCTTGTTTTATGACCACATTTTAACCATTTTTTTAAACCTTTATCTAAGAGAAGTTCATCCACTGGTGTTTAATACACTTGCTATTTAGTAAGGTTATGCGAATTTAGGTAAAATATGCCTTGATATCACAGGATTTGAAGGCTCAAAAATATCACTGGAGTGTGATCGTACATCGTCATTCTCGTGCATGATACAGGGAGGGATAGCCATAATTAGAACAGGAACAGTAGAGAACGAGGCTTACTGTGCGTGAGGTTTTTTTTTTGTTCTTGTTTCTTTGTGTGTGTGCGTGCACGCGTTTATGTGTGAAGTTTTTTTAGAGTGCGACATGGATCAACGTAACTCCACTACAGCTACACCTATGATTCCATAGAAGGGGAGATGACTCGGTTTCCTGGATGAACCACTCAGTCATATTGATATGGGCTTTTGTTTAGATACAGATCCACCGACTTATCCTTTTTTTTTCTAAGGATTTTGTTACATTCTGCCTTTGGGAGGGGGTAACTATACAACGTTCACTGAATGATCATAACAAGTGGCGTTGTAAAAAACGATATGGTTTCTATACGATACTTTAAAATGACTATACTACAGGATATCTCGTACTTAACATGCAAGGTACATTCTATTTTGTACTTGTGGCAAAGCTGATAAAGCTATCTGCC